TTAACATATTTCCATCCTAAAACAGTCCTACATTTTTTACATATAATATCACATACTATATGTTCACCTGTTAAAAGTTATCTTTTTTCTGAAGGTCCGCATTCAATATTAATTCTTTATAGTATATATTTTACATAGAATGTAGCTTATTAAATTACGCTGAATTAAATAAATAAGCTTTTCCATGTTATCCTTTGAAAGCCTATAATTTATTGTGAAAAAAACTTTTTATATATAGAAATTACTTTAGAAATTAAATCTGTATAGTTTGCTAAATGAACTTAACAATATATACATATATATACGTTATTTCCTTCTATATAATCTTAATAAATTCTTCCCATTTTAATCTATTATTTTTAAACAATTATAATATTTTAATTTTGAAATAATTAATATTTAAATAATTTAATAGAAAAAAAAAAAAAAAAAAACTTTATAAATAATTATATATAGTTTAATGAATTAATAATATATATATATATATATATATATATATATATATATATATATATATATATATATATATATATATAAAATACAAACTATTAATTTTCATTTTTTATATATTTATTTAATAAATAAATATAACTTTAAATTTTTACAAATAATTCAATATGAGTTTATATGTTTATATACAAAAAAAAAAAAAAAATATTTATGTATTAATATATATATACATTTTATTTTAAAAATATTTAAAATAGAGAAAAAAAAATTAATAAAAATAAATGTCTTTAGAAATATATTATTTATGTTCTACATCAATTTTAGGTTGTTTTAAAGGAATATTTACCTTACTTTATACACTATCTATAATATTATGTTGTTTTTACATAATATATCGTATAATAATAATAAACTAAATATATTAGTATTTGAAATAATTCCAATATCTTTATCTATATTACAGGCATTAATGATGTTAATATTAAATGTATTTATAATGGACATAAGGTTATTATTATCTGCTCTTTATTTTTAAGCATTAAATTTTATAATAGTAACTTTAAGTTGTTATGAATTATCTAAAATAACAAAGGATCCTTAAAACACTTAATAATATAAAAAAATAACATATATAATATCCAGTATAATATTTCCAATATGTCTAATTTTCCTCATTTTAACACTTTGTAATGTTTTCGAGTTAAACTGTTTATATTGGTTTTCTTTTTCTCATTAAATTCCTATCGGGATAATAATATTAACAACTTTATTTTAAATATATTTTGCAAAATAATTAATAAAATATCTCGAATAAAAAAAAAATAAGAAAATTAAGAATTTTAATAACAATAACATTCAATTACAGAAACAAATTTAAATTCAGAAGATTTTTAAATTAAATAAACTCAAAAATAATTAAATAGAATAGTTTTGTGTTTTATAATTACTATAATATTATAAATTTTAATGGACTATATTAGAAGTTATCTACTTAGCAATGTTATTTGTGAAACAGAGGAAAATTAATAAATTTAATAAAAATATTATTCAAAAGATGACTATGGATATCTATATTTATTAATTCTTTAATTTATATAAATTACGCCATGTCTTATTGCACCTTATGTATTTTATTATATTCCATATATGGATTTGAAAAAAGGAAGAAGTATAACTTTTAATGTGACATTAAATTAGGGAATTTCTTATGCATTACTCATGGATAATAACACACCTTAATTTAATGTAGATTTAATATAAAAATAAAAAAATGATAGTAATTAATTATAAAGAAATGATCATTTTTCAACACTTTAGAATATTTAATTAAATAGTAATGAATAAAAAAAAATAGAAGAAAATTGAAATTTCTGTAATAAAATATAAAAATTATATTAAGTAAAAAAAATTTAATTATAAATATAAAATGTTTATAAATATAGATATCTATAAATTATGAATATTAATAAGTGATTTATTTTTATATAGAAAAATAAATATATTATAAAAATAAAATACAGTTAAAAATAAAATAAAAAATATATATATATATATAAAAAAAAATATAAATATAAAAATAAATAAAATTAAACCAAATTATATTATTTAAAAAAAAAATGTATAAATAAAAAAAAAATTATAAAATAAAAGATAAAAAAAAAATGAAAGATTTAAATATATATAAATATATATAAATATAATATTTAAAAATAAATAAGAAAAAATATATAAATTTAAAAACATATAAAAATTATAAAAAAAATTTAAATAAAAAAATATATATAAATATTAAAATATAAATATATTTTATTTATATATATATATTTACATATATATATTTTTTTTTATATATATTTCTTTTTTTTATTATTTTTATAAAGATATTTTTTTTTTTAATTTTAGCTTATTTCACTAAAAATTTAATAATTGCTAATAAAATAAATAATTATATTATTTATAATATTATTATTATTTTTATTTAAAATAAATAAAATTTTTTTTATTTAATATACTTTTTAATTAAATATTTAAATACTTTTTATTTTTTTTAATAATAATTTTTTTTATATTTATATATATATTTAATAAATAGTTAATCATTTTAAGATAATTAATATATATTGCAACATAATATTTTTGATCTATTAATAATTTATAAAAGTATTATAAAATAAATATATATATAGGAAATAAATAAAAATATTATCATTAAAATACAATAAATAGAAATTTAAATTATATGTTTTATGTAATAAAATAACATTTTTTTTATTTATTATTATAATAAGAAGAAAAAAATTATTTAATCCTTCTATAGAAATATAATTTTATATATGTAATGTTACAATTATATATTATTAAATTTTTTTTACCATAATTAAATTATTATATATCTTTAATTTTTTTCCTCAAGAGTTATACTTTCTTAAAAAATTTTTCATAAAATTAATAAATTAAATATTTCTTTAATAAATGAAAATTGAACTTGTCAATAAGAATATTATTTTTTTGGAAGATTTTTAATCTATAAATATTGGAATTAGGAAGATATATTATAATATGTAGGAAAAAAACAAATAAAGAAGTATATAAATACTATGAAAAAAAATCATTTAATATAATAAATAGATGATTTTTTCCAGTTTTCAAGTTAAAATTTTTATATTTTTCTTAAATTATTTTATTTATTAATTAAGTAAAAACTATTAGATTTTGTTATGAAAGAGACTAAATAACAAACAAATTTTTTAAATAAAAATGAAGAAAAAATATTTTTTTAAAAAAACTATTTTTAAGGAAAAAGAAATTTAAAAATCGAAAAAATTCACAAAAAAAAAAAGAATAAAAATATATAATAAAAAATAAATAAAATTATCGAATTATTGCATAAAATCGTTTAAAAGAAAAATTAGAAAAAATAAATATAAAGAGGCAGAACTGATATATATATAATTGAAATTTTATAATAATGAAAGTGAATATAAATTAAATATAAAATATAAATTATTATATTTATATAATTAATTAAAAATAAATAAAAAAATTATAAATAAATATAAAAATATATAAATATATAAATAAATAAAAATATAATATATATTATTTTATAAATTATTTATATAATTATTTATATATATATATTTTATTTATATATCTATATTTTTATATAACAAGCACATTATTTAAAAAATAATTAAAAAATTAAAATTCATTATATAAGGAAATATAAAATATTTTAAAATTATTAGCTTTTAATATTATTAAAAAATTTTTTTATATAAATTTAGAAAAATAATTAATTAGAAAAATTTAATTTTATAATGTTTATAAATAATAAAGTTTAATTATTTTGAATAAATTAATTTTAATTAATAATAATAAAGAAATAAAGATTGATTTTTTAATAAAAAATCAGAGCAAATTTTTATAATATTTTGAATATTATGTTGTTTAAATCATAGTATTATGTTTTATAATTTTTTATGTTTATTTTATATAATTTTTATATTTACGTAGTACACATATATGTATAAAAAGGGATATATATAGTACTATAATTTGTCTCCTATAGAAATTTCTTCTTAAGTATGTTTTTTTATTTTAAAAAATACATATATTTAATTATTATTTTTATAAAAGGAAATATAATTATTTAAAAAAGTAAATATTTTTTAATAAGAATATTTATTAATAAAATACCTTTTAATAATAAAAAATTTAGATAATAATTTTATTGAAAGGGATTATGTGTAGAATAACTTTTATTTATGTTTTTATTTATTTTATTAATAATTTTTTTTTTTTCAATAAATAAAATTTAAACTAATCAAATTTTATATTTTTTACTATAAAGAAATTTAATAATTGAAAAAAAATATTGAAAAAGTCGAAAAATAATTCTTTAATTTTTTTTTTTAGTAAAAAAAAAACAATTACTCTATTAAAAAATAAAATAATTATACAAATTTTTATATTATTAAAAATTACAACTATTTATTTTTATATTTAATATATTATTTGTGATCATTAAACTTAATTTTATAAATATATTTATGACTAATATACTATATAAGAAATTATAAATTCGAGATTATGAATTTAAAATAGATGATTGGTAGAAACATTTTAATATTTATGAGTAGATCTTATCCAAATTCACTATCTATATGTGAATTATTAATAATGTAAAACATAAATATATTCCCTGTATATATTTAATTTAGTTATAAAATAAATTATCCTCATAAAAAAAACTATTTCATAATATATAATACAAACATAAAAACAACTATTATTTCTATACCTAATAATTGTATTTTATTTAATTTTTTAAATTCATAGAATAGAACTATTATATATAAAAAGATATATATATACATATATATTTTATTGAAATAATTTATTTTATTATATATATTAAAAAAAAAAAAATTAATTATTTTAAATATATATAAATAAACTTCCTTTTTTTTAAAAAAAAAAATATATCAAAAATCTGTTGCTATATAAAACATTAATAACGCCATTCCCAATAAAAAAAAAAAAAAATACTGCAAAAAATCTTCGCTTATTTCTCATAACTTCCATACTCTAAAGATTTCGGAAATGCTACCCCAGCTAAAATCCCAGTAATAAACCCTCCAAAATGTCCATAATTATCAATATTTTATTCCTTCTCCCCACCCATTATACCAGAATTTCCAGAACTTAAAAGGAATACCATAGATACAATTAGAATCGCCATACATAAAACAAAACATCTTAGATCTTCTAAAAATCTTAAAGCATTCCAATTAAGGATCAAATAAGCCAAATAAAGGCCTATCATTCCAAAAAGGGCTGTCGAAGCTCCTACCGCAATTGAATTTTAAGTCGCGAAATCGGCTGAGAAAATATTACCTCCAATAGCAGATAATATCCATATATAAAAAACAGTAAAAAATCCATAAGTATGTTCCAAAGAACTAACAAAAATAAACGTACTGATCATATTAAAAAATATATGTAAAAAATTTGCATGTAAAAAAGCTGCAGTAACAAAACGCCATAATTAATTTTCATTTTTTATTAAAGAAGGAACATTTGCCCCGTATTTTATTAAAACCTATATATTATATATATATAAATTTATTAATATAAATATTTTATATATATATATATATTTAATATATTATTTATTTTAAATATACTTATTAATCTTATTCTAAAAGTTTACTTTCTTCAGTTATATGTAAACCTTAATATGATGTATATATAAACATTATAATATTAGCTAATGATATTAATACTGTAAATGAATAGAACTTTAATCTTGGGCAAAAATTTAATTTTATCATATCCCAAAATGTCTCTTTTCGGGGATCAATATATGATTATTCAAAATCTATATAATTATATATATACATAATTTTTTAAAATTTTCTTATTTTTATATGTTAATTATTATACCCATAAAAGGTATTCTCATATCTCTTAAACGACCTATATTTAATTAGAAATCATTAAAATTATTTCCTATTTATCTATATCCTCGATTTGAATAATTTGCTAACCTATGTACATTTGATTACATTTTTTTTTTTTGGTTTAATTATTTAATTCTTATTTATTTTACGTTTTAATATATTTTTTTTTCGTTTTCGTAAAACGAATTTTAGTTTCTTTTTTTTTTTCGAAAAAAAATATATATATATATATATATAATATAATTTATATACATAAATATATATTATTTTTTATTTCTAATATTTAATAATATTAAATTAAAATTTCAATGTATAAAATTTTATAAATTATAAAAAAATATAAATATATTTTATTTATTCACATAAGAAAAAATAAATAAATAAATAAAAATTTAATTAAAAATAATAAAAATGGGAAATTTCTAAAATCAATATATAATTGACTAACCATTATACGAAAAAGACAAATTTATAATTTCGAAAAAATCCTAAGACCCTCATTTTGGTATTATAAAGATATTATAATATAAACTAGATCCTCATATATATTATGCGGAAATTAATAAATAAATAAACGATGACAAATCATTTATCTATTTTATGAAATAATTAAGTTTTCGTAAAAATTTAATACATAAGAATTTAATACTTTTAAAAAGCCTAAATTCAGAAAAAATAGAAGATTATTGTTCCTCTACATATAAAATAAATTCTTTATATGAATTTCATAATCATGATTTAAAATAAGAAATTATTAATAGAAATAAAGTAAAGGCATCATTTACACTATATGAAGTATATTATTTACTATTTTCATTAGTATCTGCACTTGAATACTTAGATTCTTAAAATGTTACACATGGAGATATTAGACCTTTCAATATCTTCATTAAAAGATCAACTGGATAGGTTAAATTAGGCGAATAATTTAAATATTCGGAACCTTTAACTGCCTATACTCAAATTTTGACAAAATCAACTAACGAGTTTTATGCTTCACCTCAGCTTTTGGAAAACGTATAAAGATTAGAAGCTGAACCGGACTACGATAGATTACAAAACGATATTTTTTCAATAGGAATGTGTCTATTAGAAGTTTGTACATTACAAAATGTATCAGATTTATGTTATAATTAAAATGAACTTTTAGTAAAAGAAGGAGCAATAAGAGGATTATTAGAAATTGTAAGTAATCAATACAATGAATATATCAGAAATTTAATTTCTTAAATGTTAATTTTAGAAGAAAATGAAAGAATAACTTTAGAAGATTTAAAATAAATTATTTAATAGGAATAAATATTGAAAAATTTAAGTGAAGGAATAATAGTCTTTTAAAATAATTGTGAAAATAATATAAATACAATATATTCAACTGAAATAACTGAAAATATTCAGTATAATCTTAAAAATAATAAAAATATTTATAAAAGTAATTATAATAGTAATAATAATAATAATAATAATATTTAAAATAGTAATTATAATAATAATAATAATAATAATAATAATAATAATAATAATAATAATAATAATAATAATATAATAATAAGTATAAACAATTTAATTTAAAGAGATGAGCTTTATTAAAGAGTTTAAAAAATATTAGAATTATCTAATAATACTATATCTAAATATGAAAATTAAAATATTAATAAAAAAAATTATTAAAATATTTATAATAATAATAAATATAATTAGACATAGTAATATATTACTTATATTTCAAATAAATAATTTAAAAAGTAAAATTGAATTAAAAAAAATTTTTATAACTTTTAAATTAAAAAAGATACAAATAGTAATATATTTAAACTAAGAACAAGTTAATTTATTATATTATATATAATTGAATTTAAAAATTATAATATATTTATTGATAATTATAAATATTATTATTAATAATTTTTTTAAAATAAAAATATATATATAAATAAATAAATATTTATTATATATATATATATATATATATATATATATATATATATTTATATTAATATTTATTTATATATCCTTATTTAAGTTTTTTATAAATTTATCTTGATTTTAATTTTTTTTTTTTATTTTTATTGATTAATTTTTAAATGTTTTAATTCAATAAAATAATTTTTTTATAAATTCATTAATTTTTATATCTATTTAATATTTATATTATTATAAACTTTATTTTATTAAATATTTTTTTTATATATATATTTTTTTTTAAAAAAATATTTTATTTTATACCATTTCTTTTTAATAAAATATTACTTTCTTTTTATCAATAAATTTAATAGATAAAAATATTTTTATTTTATATAAAATAATGCAAATAAATTTAAATAACTTTATTATTAACTAAAAAACTTATAAAAAAAATAAGTTAAAAAAAAAATGTAAAATAAATAATATATTAATAATATTCCTGCTATTAAAAACACATAATTATTTGATATAAATAAAAAAGAAATGACAAGCTTAAATAATTTATAAAAATAAAAATATGTTAACATCATATTTAATTATCAAAAAATTCCTACAAGCAGTAATGATATAGATAAAAAGCAATTTAATTAGTCAATATATTAACAATAATAATCTGATAGATATAATATAAATTAAAATATGAATATTTTTAATAAAGATTATCAAATATAAAAATAAAAATCAAATTCTTTTTATTGTTTAGAAAAGCTTTAAAATATAAAATAATAATAATAATAATAAAATAAGGATTCTTAATCTAATATATAGAATTCTTTTATTTTAAATAATATTAATATTAATAATTATATAAAATAAAAAAATAATAATTCAACAATTATTTCTAATTAAATTAATAAAACAAATAATAATTCAAATTTATCTCCAAATTAAAAAAATTCTCCTTAAAAAGTTAAAACTAATTATTAAGAATTGTAATAATCAAGTAACAAATAAATTAATTATACAAAAAGTTGTACACCAAAATAAAAAAAATAGATTTAAATCTTACTAGTTAAAATGAAATATAATAAACTATATACGAAAGGCAAAATAGTCTTTAAGAAAAAATAGAATAAAAAGAGAAAAAATACATTACATAGATACTAAAATAAAATTATTTTAATAATATTAAAATAATAATAATGATAATAATAATGATAATAATAATAATAATAATAATAATAATAATAATAATAATAATAATAGCAATATTATATTTAATAGTAATAATAATATAAATAGTATGAATAATTTAAGTAATAATAATATGTGTAATAATAATATGAGCGATTAATAAATTAATGATAAAAATTTAGTTTTTGATTATTAAAATTTATAAAAAGAATTTGACTTATTAAAAAATAGAGAAATAAAATACTTAATAAAAATATCTTATTTAGAAAAAGAAAACAAATAAACAAAAGAGTTATTATAAAATTCAAATAATGATAATATAAACTTAAATAACGAAATAAATTTTTTAAGAAAGATAAATGAAATAAATATTAATTAAAGAAATATATAAAATATTAAAAATTAATAATTTTTTAAAAATTCATCATCTTTAGAAACAGATTATCAATTTAATAAAATAAATTTAAGTAATGATTTTATGAAAAAATATTTTTAGAATAATATTTTTAAAGATAATTTAAATAAAGATTTAATAAAATAATGTATTTTATATGAAAAGTAAAATTAATAAATTAAAGGAGAATGTATATTTATATTAGATTAATATTTTAATTAGAAATAATAATAAAAAGATTAATCTAGTATATTAAAAGTTTTAAATTTCAACAAAATTTAATGAATTAAAAAAAATATATAGATTGATTATTATTAATTATATATAAATAAAATTTATTTTTTAATTTTATAAGTGTACTTATTTTATATTATTTTTTCAAATTTAAATACTAATTCACATATTTATATATATTTGTTTTAACAAAATTATAAATAATATAAATTTATTTTTAAATTCTTAAAGTAAAACAAACTTATAGATATAAATCATAAATATTAGCTAATAATATGTATTAAAAAAAGTTAAATTATATAAAAAAAATTAATAAATATCTTATAAATATAAATTTTATAATAGTATTAATCTTTTTAAATAAATTATTTAATTCAATAAAAATATGAATATATACTGCATAAAAAATAATTTTAAATGTTTTTATATTTTTTTTTTAGTTTTTTTTTTTTTTTTTTTTTAAATAATTAATAAACTTATATCATATTTTTAAATTATTGTTATTATTTATATTATTTTTAGCTGTATTTAAATCATTAAATATTTATTATTTATTTTATTAATATTATTATGGTATTACTATGTTTTATTAGTTATCATTTTACAATTATTTATTTAATAATTAATTATTTAATCCCAAATCCAACCCTACAATATTATTAAAATTATAAGATTTATCCAAATCGAAAAAATTATGTTATTAATTCTAATAAATATTTGATTAATTATTTTTTGTTAATAAAAGACTATTAAAATTAATATTAAAATTCTATTCAATATTATTATAGTCTTATGTTTGACTTATTTAAGACCCTCCTTTTAACAATTAAGGAATTTCACAATGATTTTAATAATCATTTAATCCATAAGTTAATAACTTTGTATTATTTTAAAATGTTTAAAAGCTTTATTAATTCAACTCATTATTATTACCAAAAATTCCTTAAAAATAAATACTCGAATCATTTTTAGGTTAATATTATGCTAAATTAGGAAAATGTAATTAAGTTGATTGTTAAATTTATTATATTTATTAACTTTATTATGTTTATTATTATAATTAAGATTGTTAATATTATTAATATTATAATTATGTCTACTATTGTAATTGTAATTATTATTATTATTATTATTAAATTTTTTCTTATTATTAAATTTTTTCTTATTATTTCATATCAATAACTTTTTATAATAACTAAAATTAATTTTTCTAATTCAAACATTTTTAAAAATTATATTTTTCATAAACTTACTACTCAACGTCAGTAACATTTTATTAAACAATTTTGTTTTGAACTCCATTATTATAAGCTGGAGATATATAAATAATATTATCTACTAATTAATTAAAATCTTCGTACTAAAACCTATTTCCATCATTGACAAGTTAAGATAAACTAGAATAAATTTTATTTAATGTTTTAGGATTTATTTTTAAAGACTAAGTTGCATAAACCTAAGACCATTGTTAAAATAATTCAGAAAAATCAGCAATTAATAATTTAATATGGGTTTCAAATAAATACATTTCATTAATATCATTTAAATAATATTTCACAGCATATGCATTTAAAAGTAAAAATAACTATAAACATTAATACTCTTATCTATTTGTTATTTCATTTTCATTTAAAAAATCTCTTAATCTCGGTGAGTATTTTAATAATAATTCATCGTCAATTCTTTTAAATTAAAAATAAATAAAAAAGATATAAATATAAATATATATATATATATATATATATTTATATTTACATAAATATATTTATATATAATTTATTTATTTATATTATTGTTTATTTTTTATTTATTTACTTCCAACTATTCTCGCGCAAAATATATGCAAAAAATACTATTTCAAGTTCATTAAATAAGAATTTTTTTACAATAATTCTTAACATTCTAAAAAGGGGATATTTTGATGAAATTTTAATAGCATATTTTTCTGAAGAAAGTCTTTTTAAAAATTAATTAGCTTAAATCGAGTATTAAGTAGATATATATTAAAAGTATTTTTCGTCATATGTTTTTAAGATTTAAATTTATTATTATTACCATATATCGTTTTTATCGTTTTATTGAATACATTTATTATTTTTTTCTTAGTTTTATTTATTTTAATTTAAAATATTATTTAAATCTTCTTAGAAAATATCATAAGAAAGTTTATCGATTTCTTTTTATTTTTTTATTTTTTTTTAGTTTTTCATATAGTTTTTCTTGGTAAATTTTGATTATATTTTATTAGATTTTCTTTCTTTTATATTATTATTATTATATAATTTTTTTCTTATTTATATTCATTATATTTTTAATTATTAATAAAAAAATACATTAATATTTTAAAATATAAATAGATAAATTAAAATTATTATTTGTAATAGATAATATATATAGTAATGAAATCGTTAATCTTAATTTTTTTTAAAAAAATAATTTTTTAACTATAAAAAAAATTTAAAATAAAATTTTATTTATAAATACTTGTTTTATATTATATTAATAAATTAAAAATCAATAATATTATTTAATTCAGTTTTAATTATATATCTGTATTTTTTTATTAAAAATCTTTATTTTTTATATAAAAAAATAAAATAAAATTTACTATATTAAATTTATTTTTTTAAAAAAAAATATATATTATATTTATAAATAATATTTCTTGTTAAAAATCAAATAATTTTAATTAATTTTTTAATAAATTTTTTTTATTATTTTATTTAAGAACCTAATAGTTTAAACAATATGATTTATTTATATTTTTATTTATTACTTTTATTATTATCTTATATATTCTTAACATTTTTATATTTTTAATTTTTTTTATACTCTAATAATAGAATATATTATAAAATTATTACTAACTAAATTTTTTTAAAATTTAATTAATGATTTTTAGTTATTTCTCAAAACTACTATTAAGTTATACAATATTTTTTTTATTTTACATAAACTTTAAAGCTTCTAGATTATTAGTTTTATTTTTAATATAGTATAAGCAATTAAATATGATCCACTTTTACTAATTATCAGAGTTCAAGGTATTAATACAAACCCTTTAGAAATTACTTTTCTTCTATAGTTACATATTTTATTAAGAAAATGGACCCTAAGTAGATTTATTCTTCTATTGTATTGTAAAATTTTAAGTATAGTGAATAATATGGATTTTTTTCAATTTAATTAAAATTAAATATTTCAATGATTTTATTTGTATTAAATAAAATTAAAATATTTCATAATATAGATATATATATATATATATATATATATAATATATATGTGTATTAATATTAATTAATATATTAAAATATTTATATATAAATATCTCAATTAGAAAATGCTTTTTAAAGATAATAATAAAATTAATATATTTTATTCAAATTTATTTATTATAAAAACGTTCTCTTTAATTATTATTTATTCTATATCTTTAAATATTAAAAAAAGACTTATTAAAAAAATATTTATTTAAATATATGCATAAAATCGATTATAAAAATGGAATATTTTATATTTTTATTTTTATATATAAAATAAATTTTCTAAAAAACTAAAATTAATCTAAATTTAATAAAAAAATAAAATATCCGATTCTAAAAACTTTGAAAATTTATGAAAACAATTTTTTTTTAATTAATAAAAATAATAAATTATTTTTAATATTTATTAATAAAATATAATAAATATCTATAAATTCAAATTTAATTATTTAATTAAAATAATTTTTCTGAATAAAAATATACAATTTAATTATTCTTCATCTTTTTCTTTTTAATTGATAAATAAATAAATTATCACATACTAAAAAAAATATACATTCTAAAGTTATATACTTAATAATGAAATATACATACAAACCTCCTATAAAATATAAAAAAAATATATATTTAAATATAATAAATAATTAAATTAATAAATATAAAAATAAAATAAAAAATATGTAATCTCATTAATACACCTACGATTTATTTGTGATAGGTGGAGGTTCCGGAGGTCTCGCTGCTGCCAAAGAGGCAGCCTCTCTTGGTGCAAAGGTAGCTCTTGCCGACTTCGTAAAGCCCTCCCCTATCGGTTCAAAATGGGGTCTCGGTGGTACATGCGTAAATGTTGGTTGTATTCCCAAAAAGCTTATGCATTTGTCTGCTGTAGTTGGTGAATCTCACGAGGCCTAAAAAAATATGGGTTGGTCTGATATAAAAGATAAATATTCTCATCAATGGGAACCAATGGTTTAAAGGGTCTAAAATCACATAAAAAAACTCAATTGGGGCTACAAGGTAGCTTTAGCTGAAAACGAAGTAAAATACTTTAATTCTTTAGCCACTTTATTTGATAAAAATACAGTCGAAGTAATTAATTATTTTTATATATACAAAAAAAATAAAATATACATATTTAAAATAAATAAATATATAGCTTACAGATAAAAAAGGAGAAAAAACAAAAATAACATCAAAATATATATTAATATCAGTAGGAGGAAGACCAACATTTTTAGATGATATTCCCAATAATAGGTAATTATGTATAACATCTGATGATATATTTTCACTATAAAAGCCTCCTGGTAAAACCTTAATCGTTGGCGCATCTTATATAGCCCTTGAATGTGCTGGTTTTCTTGCTGGTTTCCATTACGATGTAACAGTGATGGTCCGTTCTATTTTATTGAGAGGTTTCGACTAAGAAATGGCTAATAAAATCGGCGAATATATGGAAAGACATGGTGTGAAGTTCATAAGAGGTACAATTCCTTCTGACATAAAGCAAGAAGGTGAAAAAAAACGTGTTTTCTGGAAAGACGCTAACGGATAAACACAAAGTGATGTCTATGATACAATAATGTTGGCTATAGGAAGAAGTTCTGATACCTAAAATATTGGTTTGGAATAATTAGGTATTAAAACAAAGCCTAATGGAAAAATAATATGTAATGACGACGATACTACGTCTATTGAAGGAGTCTTTGCCATAGGAGATTGTGTAGATAAAAGACCAGAGTTAACTCCCACAGCAATAAAAGCTGGCCGACTTTTAGTCCGAAGACTTTTTGGTGGAGAAAAGAAGTTTATGAATTATCATTATATCCCTACAACTGTATTTACCCCTCTAGAATACGGAACAATTGGCTTCTCAGAAGAAGACGCAAAAGTTAAATTCGGAGATGCTAATATTAAAGTCTTTTATTCTATTTTTAAACCTCTTGAATGGAATTATTCAGATCATAGACATGATGATAAGGGATATTGTAAATTAATTATTAATAGTGCTGATAATAAACGAGTGGTAGGTTTCCATTATTTAGGACCTAATGCAGGAGAAGTTACTTAAGGATTTGCTATTGCTTTTATTTTGAAAGCAACCAAAGAACATTTTGATGATATTGTAGGTATTCATCCTACTAGTGCTGAAGTAATTTATATATATATATATATGTATATATGTAAGTATTATTTTAGGAATTTACAACACTTAAATTTATTAAAGGAGAAGGAGAAGCTAAAGAATCAGGTTGCTGAGGTTGAGAGGGCCAACTGCTTTAGGAAAAAGGCAGTTGGTGATCTCTTTTACCAATTTTTGTTTTTTCCCTCTCAAAAAACTTTTTTTTTGTTTTTTTCTTATATTTATGAATACTTTTATTTGAATTTTTTTTAGAAAATTTAAGAGAAAATATTTCTTGGTAAAAAAATGATGCTTTCTAAAAAAAAAAAAAAAAATTGTGAATATTTAATTATTGAATTGAAGGAAGATTTGCTAATTTTTGATTTGAAAATGTTTATTTTTCTTTTGAGTATTTTTAATTCTTTCAAATTTATATTCGGCTTTGTCTTTTTTAAAGAATTCCTATTCTTTAAAAGGGAACTTTATGATAAAAAAAGACTATAAAAATTTCAAAAAGGTTTTTTTTTTGAGTAGAATATGAATAAAAATAAAAGGATTGAAAAGAAAAAAAGATTAATAAAAATAAAAGAATTCTTAAATATAAAAAAAAAATAAAAAAAAAATATATATATATATATATATATATATATATATATATATTTATATATATATATATATATATATATATGTATTAATTATACTTTTTTAAGTATTCTCAAACAAATAATTCTTTTTTTTTAAAAAAAATAAATAAAAAAAAACTACCCAAACAATAAATATGGAAAAATGTCCATTTATAAATACAATAATAAAGAACTGTTGTAGCAATCTATATTTATAAATCATAAAATAAAGAAAATTCGGTTTAACAATAAAAGTATTAAAAAGAAACCTTTGTGAAATAGTCTAATAAAGCAAATTCTTCTAAAATAAAAAAATAAATTTCGGTAAAGGAATTTTAAATTTAATTTTAAAGGCAATAAATATAATAAAAAACGATTTCAAAGACATTAATAATGATTTCAAAAATATATATAAATTCTTAATAAACAAATATTTTATAATAATAGATGAGACTTTTTATTTATTTTGAATTACAGTTAATTCTTTAGTTAGTTTTTTTTTCTGCTAATATTAAATATTTTCTATAGTATTATTTTTTTATATTAGGAGTTATTTGATTTTTGTTAATTAAAGATTTGTTTAATAAATATTAAAGAACAAATTATATAAATTTCATTTTGTTATGAATAAATAATATTATTTTTTTAATATTAAAATATTTTGGATATATTCAATTTTTATATTAATATAAAAATATATATATATATATATATTAATATATATATATTATATATATATATATATTATATAAAATATTTTTTCATGAAAGTAATGAATTTATTATTTTATCTAAATCAACAATGTAAATATCATTATAGGCCATTAAATGCCTATCTCCCCCAAAAATAAAGCATTAATTATCACATATTATTGCCGAATGTCCATCTCTAGCACATGGTCTTCTACCCATAACTTTATTTTATTTAAAATCGAATTATTACTATATATTAGTTTTGCTTTAATCTTAAATCTTTAAAGAGTTCTTATTTTTACCTATAGGGTTTCCTACTGAAACTATACTATTTTTCATTGTTTCAGTAGTTGGTGAATTATTTCTTTTTTTTTATTTATTTGTAATTTAATAATTAAAAAAAAAATATATATAAAGAACCTAAATGTTAATTTTTCAGTTTCATTTAGTTCAAATTCTTATAAAAGATTTCTTTTTTTTATTTAGAATTTTTTTTTTCTATTTTCCTTCATTTAATTTATATTTTTAGAAGTATTATGTACTTCCTTAATAATAATATTAGTATCATTTCCTTTAAGTATACTTTTATAATTTTTTTTAAATATAGGAGTACAACCCATAAAGCTATAATTTTTTAGTTATTTATTAGAACTATGTTATTATTTATTTAATAAATTATGGTTTTCTTCATAATTCAATTTAGATGTATTTAATGTTTAATCCGCACTTAAGTTTTTAGCATTATCTTAAAATGGCATACACGAAGTATTATTATTTTCATCCTCTCTTTTTTAAATATGGGAAATATCATCATCAACTATAATTATTTATTTCATTTTTATTATTTATTTTTTTATTACTTATATGCCATTATTTATTATGAGGAGCAAATACATATAAATCATTTTTTTCATGAGTTATATCATGTATACCTCCAAAAATTATTAAATTATCTTTAAAATTAATTAAAATATGTCCGTTTCTTGTCTTTTTTTAATTTATTATTTCCACCCAAAAAAAAAAAAAAAAAAAAAAAATATTATTACTTCAGGTTATATTGAATTTTCTTAAATTTCTATTTGTTCCCATTAATTTTCATGAGTATTGAATTTCCAAATATCATTAAATTTCTTATCAACAATTGTTCCTTTTCCCCCCCCCAAAAAAAAATAAAAAAAAATCATTAAATAGATAAAAAAAACAATACCTCCAAACATATATATAGCTTATCCTAAAATAGTAATACTGGCTCCTGCTCTTTTGCTAGGTTTTTATTTAGATTGCTCTCCTATTTCTTACCAACTAAATGAATCAAAATTAAATTACCACAGTTTATCCTAATACCCTCCATTTCTTGCATTTGAAAAGCCTCCAAAAATATACATACAAGCCCTTGTATCATCTACAGTAGCGCAATGAGAATCTATTTCTAGAGGTTTAATCTAATCCTATTTTTTATAAAAATAATTAATATTTATTATATATTTATATAAATGTTTATACACTATAAATAAATATTATTTATATAAAAAATACTTTAGGTTCAACATTTTGCCATTCATCGTATATATAATCATAAGTCCATATATCATTTGTAGATTTAAGAGATTATTTATTTCCACCAAATATGTACATTTTATCTTAAAAAACAACTGCCGTATGTCTCATTAAAGGGCCAGGATAAGGTTTATTTCCTTTGTTTGAAATTTTCTCCCATTTATATGATTATGCATTTTTTATTACCATTGAATAAAAATCACTCAAAATACCTTCATTAACTTCATATCCTCCATAAACATACATCCTTTTTTTTTTAGCTTTTTTTTTGGAAAATAAAAAAAACCTATCTTGAATAATTACTGCTGAATGATAACTTCTACGGCATATATTTTTTCCATTTATTGTTATTTCATTCCATTTAGTATCTAATTTTTATTATTAATTATGTAGGTTTAAAAAACTTTCGTCCGCTACTTTTGACTTTATATCTATTATTTGATCTTGTACTTTTTATTAAATACTTTTTGACAATATAGATTTATTAGTTTAAGCTTTAGTTAGCATATTTATTAATTACTAATTTTATTAAAAAAAAAAATTTATTTTATTTTTATTTAATAATTTATAATTAATTAAATATAAAAATAATAAAAAATTAATTTTGTGAAATATTAATAAATATATCTAAAATTATAGGATATTTAATTATATATATTATTATTTATTTATTATTAATATTTTATATATTATTTCTTTTTATATGGATAATTAATAATTAAATTATAAATTCAATATGAAAGAAAGAACTTTTTCCATTATTTCAATTAAAAATAAAAATTTTTTTTAATAATTTATTTATAATATCAATAAATAAATCTATATAAAAAGCACAACTTTTTTTTATTAAATAATTGTGTTTTATTTAATATTGAATATTATATTATTATTCTTTTAAATAAAATATCATTCTATTAATTTATATATATATATATAAAAGATAAAAAAAAAAAATTGTAAAACCAAAATAAAATAATATTTTAAGTATATTAATTATAAAAAATAATATATTAAATAAGATATATTATATATTTTATTGAATTTTTTAAATATGTATTAATATGAATTTTATTTAAATATATTGTTGTTTTTTTTTTATAGAAATTTTAATTTACTAATTTAAAGAAAATTAGTATTTTTAAAATATAAGTTCGGTGACATTTATATATTTTAAATTACATATAGTAGTTCTAGTAATATATAAAGTAATTATTAAATGCATTTTCTTATAAGATATATTTTTATTTTTTAATTACTATATTGTTTTTAAAATAATTTTGTCTTTTATTTATATATAATACAAACAGAAATATAATTTAAAAAAAAATTTAATATATAAAAACATAAGATAAATAATTTATTTAATTAAATAATAAATAAAAGAACTAAGATATATAATAATATAAATGATTTATTTAATAAATATTTAAATTTATTCCTATAAAATTAAACATATTTTAAATTACTTTTATTTATAAATAAAACAAATATTTATTAATTCTGAAAAATATATATGTAATAAATATTTCTTTATTAAATATCTAAATATTTTTTAATTTATATATTTTAATATTTAATTAATTATAATTATATACAAAAAATCAAAAAAATATTTATTAATTAGAAAAACTCTAGAACAATGTTTATTATATAAATAGATACTATATAAAGAATATAATTTTATATATTATAATAAATCAATTATTATAATTTAGAAAAATTAAATTATAGACATAAGATTTACTAAATATATATTATCTTGTATCTTTTTGTAGATTAAAAATCTAATATAATCTTAAAACAATAAATATTAAATAACTTAATTTATATTATTTTATTTTATAAATTCAACTTTAAAATAAAAAACCAAAAACTTAAAAATAACATATTTCATTTTAATAATCTCATGATAATAAAACAATAAATTATAAAACAACTGAATTTAGATTGTTAAAAGGCACTATAATTACCCTAAATACAGCACTAATGTTTTAACTATAAAACATTAATTAATCAAATAAATAGTAATATTGAATCTGAAAACTTGAGCAATATATCTCTAATAACAATAAGATTTATAAAACTATCATAATCCTTTATATAAACTGAATATATGGCTATATATTTAAAATTTAGTCAACTATTTAAATGTTAGACATTAAAACACATTATAGAATAGAATAATGTCCCTTAAAATAAAGTTATTTCTTATATAAATTATTAGTTAGAAAAAAAGAGACCAAATAAATAAATTAAAAAATACTTTTAATATTCCATAATTTGAATAGAATGCTGATATATTACTATATTTTAAAAATACTATATAAAAACTTCCATATATAGAGTTATTAATTTAAAAAAATAATCTCATTTTAAAATTATAAAGTAAATAATTCTTAAGGTTATTATTTTATTCATTAACATTATAATATTTTATTTTAGAAAATAAATAATAACTTCATTTCTAGAAAACGCAAGAGAATCGTAAAATGCCTTTAGAAATTTTAAATATTGAAATTCAAGTATAGTTAACAGCTCAATAAAAAAAAATTCAACGTGCTAAATTAATTAAGGCTTTTATATAATTTATAGTTAATAATACTATAAGAAAAATAATTAAATATGGCAAATTACAACAACTGTATAGGATATTAATATGTTCATAAAGTTTAAAAATATATATAAAAAAAAATAAGTAATGAATGATCTATAATAAGATTTTCGATATAATTATTATAATTGGAATTTGAAATAATATTAAGAAAGAAGAAATAATAATATGATAATTATTAAATATAAATTAATATATGTGTTTATTATATATTATAATTTTACATATTCATATTTTAAAATAATTTTATATAAAAAATTAATTTAAATAAACTATAAATTAAATACATTTTTTTATTTAAAATATGTGTTAATTTATAAAAATTATTAATATTATTTGACCCTTAATTATTGTTGTAAAATTTGAATATTCATCTAATAGCTTTTGAATAATTTTTATTTTAATAAATACTTTTTTTAATATATTTATAAAAAAATAATTATCTAAAATTAATTTTTATTATATAACTTTTATTTAAATATTAAATTTAATATATAATGATATTTTTTATTTATTTTCGAATTATCAATAAAAATAAAATGGTTTTTTTTAATTTGTTTTCAAATATTAATTATATATTTTTACTTACTAATAGTGTATAATTATAACTAATTTTTAAATAATTTATTTTGTTTGAATATAACTTATAATTAATATACTTAATTTTTTAAAAAGTACAATTTTTGTTTTGTTTTGTTTTAATTATTATTTTAATATTAATTTATGTTAATATTTCCTTTGATTGTGTATTTATTTATTACTTATATCAATATTTTTAGAAAAAAATAAAAAAAATATAATTATTTATAATATAATTATTAAAAACAATTAAAATAAAACTATATTAATATTATAATATATCAGTATAAATAGAGTTATATAATTTTACATTAGTTTTATTTTTAAAATATATTTTTATGATATCTTTCAATCACTTAACTCTTTATAAGATATTAATAAAAGTCTATTTTTGTACTATAAAAATAATCTTTCTCCTAATTAATTATATAAATTATTACTTATCATTTATTTAACATTAGGGACTGAATATTCTATTTAATTCAAATTGTATTTTTTCTTAATATATTTACAATTGTAATTATTTTAAATAGTGAAAATGATATTATATTATTAAGGTTAATATATAATACACAGAATCTACAAAGGTTTTCTCGTAAATAGTTTTCTAAAAAGTAATATATATTTATTATTTTAAAATTTAATAATTTTATTGATATTAAATTTTGAATTTATTTTCATTTTTTCTTTATTTATTTCCGATTATTTAATTACATCTTAATTTAATAAATTTTACATATTTATTTATATATTTGTTTATTTTCTTTGAAAATTATTTTAATTTAAGAATAGTTATTAGTAATTATTTTATATCTTTAATGCTAAATTTTTTAATATAATTTGTATTTAACAATAAGAAAAATCTAAACTATTAAGGATATTATCTAAACTTATTTATTTATTATTTTCGAAAATTACATAGTATTTATCTTCTATTTATTTTACATATTAAGGCAAATTTATTTAATTAATATAGTTTGCTTAATATAGACTTTAATAATCATTATTTATTATTTATTTTTTATTTCCATAAACTAATTTTAACTCTTTTAATAAAATGTCATTATTTTCTGAATAATAGGTGTATAATAAATTTCTTAAATTTATTTTTTCTTTATACTAATTAAGTTTTTTATAAAAGCTTAGACTAATAAGTAGATTATATTAATTTGATTCTGAATAATTTATGAGTTTATTTTCTGTAATTTGATTTTTTACTTATTATTTTTCACTTTATATAAATATTTATAATAAAATATTATCATTCCCAGGTATACTGATATCTTATATATATATTTATTCATTTAAAATATTCTTATAATTATCTAGTTAAAAGATAAGTTGGCCTTTACAATCAAAAATTATTTAAAAATTTTTAATCAAATTTTACCAAACCTAAAATTATTTAAAAATGCATGAAAAATTAGAAAAAAATAAAATAAAAATATTAATTACTATCTAATGACTATTATCTAAGTTATTTTATTTTATCACGTCTTGAAAGTATTAAATTTAACTTTAATTATTTTCATTTTATTATTATTAACCCTAAAATCTAAAAGAAACAATTTCATTAATGAATTCTTTTTTAAATTTAACAAATTCTTAAAAATGCATATGAATTGAGTATTTTCTTGTATAAAGTGGAAAATACAATATAATTTAATAAAAATCAAATTAAAAGTAATATTTTATTATTGCAATACAATATGTTTTATTAATTATACATATCACTTTAGTAATTACTTAATCATACATTTAATTAATATTAAAACAACTCATATATCCCAAATTATATATCTAAGAATATTATTAAAGTTTGTATTAAGTCTATATTTTATATAAAAATATATTTTAATATTATTTTACATTTGATTCATATTAGTTCTATAGCATAGTATATCTATATTCATATTTTAATTAAAGATAAATTTTTTTGAGAGGTATTTTAAAAGTAAAGTATGAATTAGAATTAACTTTTACTAATTTTTGGAATATTTTTTAACTAATTTTTAATATAGCTTTTTTGGAAAAACAATAATTAAAATCATATTTA